ACATGGTCGTGCTGTCGTCACGTCGCAAAATGCGTGGCAGGAATGGGACGCGGCGCACACCCCGCGCGAAGGGGCGACATGGTACTACTACTACCACTACCACTACCAACACCACTACCACTGGTACAACTACTCCTGCCTCTTGGGGCCTCCTGGGCCCCCTTGGGGTGTCCTGTCAGACCGTCGGGCTTCCTCCGGCCACCTCTGGCTTCCTGCGGTGTACCGGGCCATTCTCGACTCGTCTGGCAATGCGTGCGCGGCATTCAACACGCGCTCGCCAGTTCCCGTCGGCACCCGCCATCGCGGCCGCATCAGCTGTACCAAACCGGCTGGCCGGTGTGACTTCGGCCCCCAGTTGTGCCAGCTTTGCTTCTTATGTTGTGGGAGGGCGGGAGGGACTGGGCATGCCATGCTTGACTCGCTCGAGCTGGCTAGCTTGACTCCTACTCCTACTCCTACTCCTATCCTTATTCCTTATTAGAATATACTCCTACTCCCCCCTCAGGCCGGCCATTAGGGGCCGCATCCGGGGGGTCCCATCCTAACCTGGAAAAAACAATACAAAATCAACATGTTTCTTATTTTTTCCTCTCGACATGGACGTCCTGTCGTCCACGGCGATAATCCATTGCAAAAAATACCACAAAGAGCACACGCGCGCGTTCATGTCAGAATCCTACCGAACACCGTGTGTTTGCAAGCATTTCAACATAAAAACATCAAAAGACCAATGTTTGTTCACAAAAATTGTACAAGTTTCCCGCCCGGGCTCTCTTGCTGAAACCATAGGAAAACCATAGGAATCTTAAGAACTCGGTCAAATCCAGCGATTTCACGTCATCGCGCGGTGCACTCGCGATGCTCTGTCATGCACCCAGGCCGCGAATCCTGTGCAAAAAATACAACAAAGAGCACACTCGCGCGTTCATGTCAGAATCCTACCGAACACCGGTGTGGTTTGCAAGCATTCTACATATTAAACATCACACCCAATGCATTTTCAACAAAAATGCTTTGGGGAAAAATGCTTTGGGGTGTCCTGTCAGACCGTCGGGTGTCCTCCGGCCACCTCTGGCTTCCTGCGGTGTACCGGGCCATTCTCGACTCGTCTGGCAATGCGTGCGCGGCATTCAACACGCGCTCGCCAGTTCCCGTCGGCAACCGCCATCGCGGCCGCATCAGCTGTACCAAACCGGCTGGCCGGTGTGACTTCGGCCCCCAGTTGTGCCAGCTTTGCTTCTTATGTTGTGGAGGGCGGGTGGGACTGGGCATGCCATGCTTGACTCGCTCGAGCTGGCTAGCTTGACTCCCACTCCTACTCCTACTCCTACTCCTATCCTTATTCCTTATTAGAATATACTCCTACTCCCCCCTCAGGCCGGCCGATAGGGGCCGCATCCGGGTGGTCCCATCCTAACCTGTAAAAAAACAATACAAAATCAACATTTTTCTTATTTTTTCCTCTCGACATGGACGTCCTGTCGTCCACGGCGATATTCCATTGCAAAAAATACAACAAAGAGCACACGCGCGCGTTCATGTCAGAATCCTACCGAACACCGTGTGTTTGCAAGCATTTCAACATAAAAACATCAAAAACCCAATGCTTTTTTTCACAAAAAAATCTACAAATTTCCTGCCCGGGCTCTCTTGCTGAAATCATAGGAAAACCATAGGAATCTTAAGAATTCTGACAAATCCAGCGATTTCGCGTCATCGCGCGGTGCACTCGCGATGCTCTGTCATGCACCCAGGCCGCGAATCCTGTGCAAAAAAAACCACGCGGGCGACATGCGCGCGCGTCGCCGCGAGCGCATGCTCAAATCCTTCTAGAGTCGTCGCCGTCATTGGCACCGTCGCATGGACGTCCTGTCGTCCACGTCGCAAAATGCATGGCAGGAATGGGACGCGGCACACACCCCGCGCCCGCCCATCCAATTCCGTCTCCCATTCGAATATGAAAAAGACATTACACATGGTGTTTTCTTGACATATTATTGGCGTGCTGTCTCACTGAAGCTGCGCAATGCGTGCACGAATGGGACGGGCCCACACACACCGCGCGAAGGGTGACATGTTACTAACGACTAACCGCAGCTACCTACGACTACTACCGACTGGTACTACTACTCCTGCCTCTTTTTATTAATGGGGGGCATCCTGGGCCCCACCTTGGGTGTCCTGTCAACCGTCGGGTTGCCTTCCGGCCACCTCTGGCTTCCTGCGTGTACCGGGTCCCATTCTCGACTACGTCCTGCAATGCTGCGCGGCAGTCAAACACGCCGCTCGCCAAGTTCCCTTCGCAAACCGCCATCGCGGCCGCATCAGCTGTACCAAACCGGCTGGCCGGTGTGACTTCGGCCCCCAGTTGTGCCAGCTTTGCTTCTTATGTTGTGGGAGGGCGGGTGGGACTGGCTCTACGTTGTGGGAGGGCGGGTGGGACTGGGCATGCCATGCTTGACCTCGCTCGAGCTGGCTAGCTTGAACTCCTAACTGCATCGCTTATTCCTTATTATAATATACTCCTACTCCCCCCTCAGGCCGTGCCGATAGGGGCCGCAACCGGGTGTCCCATCCTAACCTGTAAAAAACAATACAAAATCAACATTTTTCTTATTTTTTCCTCCCGACATGGACGTCCTGTCGTCCACGGCGATAATCCATTGCAAAAAATTACCACAAAGAGCACACGCGCGCGTTCATGTCAGAATCCTACCGAACACCGTGCGTTTGCAAGCATTTCAACATAAAAACATCAAAAACCCAATGTTTTTTTCACAAAAAAATCTGCTACACCCATCCAGCGCCTCTCACCCTGCTGTGGCAAAGAGAGACAGGAAACAGGACAGACAAAGGGCGATGGGCGAGATGAGACGATCAACCAACTGTCCATTCACAATCTTTTCCAGAGCAGCTCGCTGCGCAAACTGAAAAGGTGCTTTGAAGACTGTGGTCCAGCACGCGCGCGCTTACCCTGTCTTTGCCAACCCCTAGGGCTGGGAGGGTGGGCGCCAGAACTCCTTGAGCCGCAGGGGCCGCGGAAGACACAGGCATGGCACAGGGGCCCCGAGGACCTTCACTATCTACCGCTCTGAGAGGCTCCTTGAGGTGTCGCAAAAACGTTTATAAACCAAACATGCTACACCCATCCAGCGCCTCTCACCCTGCTGTGGCAAAGAGAGACAGGAAACAGGACAGACAAAGGGCGATGGGCGAGATGAGACGATCAACCAACTGTCCATTCACAATCTTTTCCAGAGCAGCTCGCTGCGCAAACTGAAAAGGTGCTTTGAAGACTGTGGTCCAGCACGCGTGCGCTTACCCTGTCTTTGCCAACCCCATACCAACAAGACCCATACTTGTACCATGGCAGGCCTGTCGGGGCGGGTCGGGAGGGGCGAAGCACGACGGTCTGCAACCAAAAGAAAGAAATTAGAACGGGCAGGAAGGCTCACATCACCCTGGGCGTCTGTGCTTTCGCAGGGCCACTCGAAGTTTTCCTGGGAGGGCAGAGCTCAGGCGAAGGCTTCTCGACAAGAATAACTGAGAGAACTTTGATCGGACCCGAAGCAGAGTGCCAGCCTTCTCGTATCGACGCACGCTCTCCCGCGCCTTCCAGCGGCCTCGGCGCTGGATTGAGCGCAGGTCCTCGAACTTCTCTAGTGCGTCTCGGCTGGCGCCGCCATGACGAAGGCAGTGCGGCGTGAAAGCCACAGGCAGCTGCAGGCGGCGGCAGGCGGCGTTCACGGCGGCCTCCAGCTGTGCTAGCGTCAAGCCCGCAAAGAGCGGTCCCGGGCCCGCACGCGCCAGCAAGATATCGAGAATGCTGCCCACGAAGCCCTGGCCCTTGGCAGCACTGCCCAAGAAGACCGTGTCATCGAACGTGTTAGTCTTCGAGGGAATCGGCTGTGTCGCTGGGGCTACTGTCACCGCCCACAGCTTCTGGGGTCCAGAGCGCGGCGGCCGCAAGACATCGGCACCACGCAGGCCCGGCGCCTCAGACGGTCGCAGGAAGCCGTCGAAAGCAACGGGCAGCAGCGCTCCTGCAAGCGTGGACTGGAAGTCGCGCCCGATGAGATCGCCCGCGACGGCCAGCACTGCCTCCCAGACCGCGGGCTCGCGGCTTCCAGGTGGTTCGAGTCGGTCCCAGCCTTTGAGAGCCTGCTTGGCCTTGGGGAAGGCGTCACCCTTGGTCGCCCAGCCCTGCTGCCAGGCCAGCCCGTAGAGGCACCATCGGGCGTTGGCCTTGGCCTCGCCGCCGAGGAAGAGCGACTCGAAGTGGCGCTCCAGAGTGGCGTCGGCCGCCCGCGGGTCCGAGAGGCTCCCACCGTTACAGGCGACGAAGTCGTGGAGCCCCTCCACGCAGTCAGAGTAGCGCGCCGCGGTTGCCTGGCGCACTGTGGCCCGCCGCAAGAAGCCAGGCGCCTGCTCTCGCGGCTCCGCCCGAGCTCGACGACCGCGGCCGCGCGCCCTAGTCCCAGCGCCTCTGGCAGCCGTGCCACGGCAGCCGGTACCTGAGCGGGCATCGCGGGGCGTCGACTGCGACGCTGGAGCAGCCACACGCGGACGCCAGCTGCCGCTCCCAGCGGCGCTCGAGGTAGGCCTCTCCGTCTGGCCTTGCGGCCGCTGGGGGCGCCAGGAGCTGGGCGGCGCTGGCATAGGCGCGGCACAGGCTGGGCGGATAGGCAGCAGCTAGACTAGTCTTCCACTCCCAGCGTCCCCTCACCAAAACCTTGCCCTGCAGAACTTCGCAATGCCGTCGGCACCTGCACTCGCGGGCCAGGGAGGCGAACAGCGGGTGGGAGGCCGCAAGCCTCGTAGGCTTCTGAAAGGGCGTCCCAAAGCGGCACTGGCACAAGTCGACAAACGTGGAAGCTGACGCCCGAAGCGCCCTCGCCAGAGGTCTCCACGTCCAGAGGCGCGACCGCTGAGGATTCTCGAGAGTGAAGTGGACCCCAGATCGCCGGCACTCCTGGATCAGGCGAACTGTGAAGCGCGCCGCGGCCAGCCCTCCCGCGGGTTCTGCGGTGCCCGAAGAGCGTGCAATCGACCACCGCGTGCACGGGGTCGCAAGATGCATGAGCCAAATAGCGCCGGAGCGGATCCACCCGATGACAACCCTCTGGACCTTCGGGTCCGTGATGTCGAACTGCGGGCCCTTCACGAGGTCCATGGGAACCCCTGCACGCAGCCCAGCCTCCAGGATGGCCCCCGCCAGGTACCCCTCGCCCGAGAAAATCTCCAGGAAGAAGCGCCGGCCCCGTCGAGGCCTCTGTCCAACCTGACCTCCAAGACGCGCAGGAGCGGGAGGAGGATCGAGACCTGGTGGAGGACGTAGCTCGGGAAGGTGCCCTGGAACGTCGTGCCTGGCCCTGGGTGACGAACCCTCTTGACCTCCAAGACGCTCGGGGACAGGAGGAAGTTCCAGACCAGGTGGGGGACGTAGTCCAGGAAGAAGCCCCGCAGCTCGATGACTGGCTCTCATTGATGGGCGCCCTGGAGGTACCTCGTTGGAGCTCCTTATAGAAGGCTTTTTCAAAGCAGGGATGGAGAGACGATCGGGAGGGCGCCCGGATGGAAGACGACCGCGCGGCCCTCGCCACACCTGGCCGGGCTGCAACAGCCCGCGGTCCGCCGCCCGACTCATGTAGTCCGCCGCGTTCCGCACTCCCTCGACATGCCGTTGTCGCCACACGATGCCGGAGGCCAGCTGCAGCGCGGCCGCCCGTCGGCATTGTGCGAGGAGCTCCCTGTTTGCCGCGCGGCCCTTCTCGAAGGCCAAGACCGAGCCCATGTTGTCCCCTGCGGAGAGGAGCTCCGTGTCGTGGTACGGCGGATGACTGGCAGCTCGAGCCAGGCCCATCAGCCCGCAGCGCGCCTCGTAGTCGTGGATGCGGCTCGCGTCGCGCCAGGCCCCAGCAACAACCAGCTCCCAGCGCCCGGGGTCGACGAAGTCGTCGGGTAGCGGCGGCGGTCGCCAGCCAGAGTCGACCTCGACTCGGCAGCGCTCCGGCACGGGCCCGCGAGCACGGCTCCGCTCGAGCAGCCCGTCCCACCAGCCCTCGCCAGCGTCGCCAATCGCCATGGAGCCCCTGAAGCCGTCGTGCTCGCGCTCCACGAACTTCTCTCGACGGCTGAAGCGAGCTCGCTCCCGAAAGCGGCAGAGACTGCGAACCTCCCCGGGCCTCGCATCGGTCTCCAAGAGGGCGTAGCCTTTCATGGAAGCGTCCGTCATGAAGGCGACGGGGCAGGGGGGCAGCCCCCAGCGGCCCTACCGCCATGAAGAGCAGCGACCTGGCGACCTTCAGCTCGTGCAGCGCGGCCGTCGGCAACTCGCGGATCTCGCCGAGGTCCTGCTGGACAAAGTCGTACAAGACGCGGAAGATCGAAAGCCCTGGCCTCATCAGCTGGAAGAAGGACACCAGGTGGCCCAGAACAGCACGGATCTGCCACCCCGCGGCCTTGCGCCATCTCAGAAGAAAGGTCAAGCCCCCGTGCAGCCGCCAGAGGCGCTTCGGCTTGGGACGAACCAGGCCCTGCACGCCATCGACGATAACGCCCAGGATCTCGACCTCGATGCCTGCGTCCTGCCTCTCGTGCCACTTCAAGCCTAGCTGGTCGAGAGCCGCCGTCATGCGCTCGAGTCGGTCCTGCACGAGGTCCTGCTCGATACCAATGATGTTGGCGTTGTCGACGTAAGGTAAGTCGCCGACCATCCCCGGCTCTAGCTGGGCCGCTGGCGCCTTGTCCAGCACCATAGCGTCGCGAGGACCTGCCGAGGATCGCATCACCTGCGCCAACGTCTCGTGGCAGATCCACAGCGCCCAGGACCAGCCCATCGCCAGTCCGCCGTAGGCCGGCCACACGTAGTCGTCCGGGGCGACGTCCACGAAAGCCTTCGCGTCGCCGTCGTAGACCTGGTGTACGCCTAGGTCCTTCGCCTGGACCCCGGGCATGTCGAACACGAACCACTCGGACAGGTGCGGAATCTTGAACTGGTGGAAGCCGTCCTTCAGGTCGACCGTGGCCGCGTACAAGGCGGCCTCGTCCGGCTTCATCGAGCAGCGCTGTCGCCAGTCGGCCCCGACCTGCACCGACGCGAGCGCCTCCACTGAAGCCACGCTGGTCTGTGGGGGTAGCCGGTGGTACTGGTTGGGCTGTCGGCCGCCCACGATCATGCGGAGGCGATCCCCTTTCTTCTCGACAAAGAACAGCCCCACCGTGGCCTTCTTCCGACGAGTGGCCACCACGATCCCCATGTCGGCAAGGCGCTTCAGCAGCGCGAGCAGGCGCGGGTGGTTGGCGCGGACCCTCGGGTTCAAGAGAGGATCCCAGTACGGCTCGATGTGGGGCTCGTCTGCGAGCTCGTCCGAGTGCCGCTCCAGGAACTTCTCGGGTTCCATCAAAACTTGTCGAACGTGATCTGGGACGAGGTCGAGCGCCTCCCGAGGCTCCACCGAGCCCTGCAAGAGGGAGACCTTGTCCTGAACGAAGGGCCGAACCGTGAGCCGACCCTCCTCGGAGTAGATGTTGCTGGACTTGAGAAGCTCCTGAAAGGCCTCTCGAGGTCGAGCGTCGGGCGGAGGCGGACCATGTCGAGCCACCGATCGAACCACTCGGCCAAGCGCGGACTCCTGCGAAGGGGTCAGCGTCGAAGTCTGGCGCACCCGTCCTGGCTGGAGGGTGTGTGACGCTCGAGCGGCGGCCAGCGCGTTCAGGCTCGAGAAGATGTCCTCGGTCGCCCTGCGCGTCCAGTCCCGCTTCGTGCGGCGGCGAGCGGCGCGGCGTCCCGCCGGGCGCTCTCGGCTGGTCTCCTCGAAGAAGTCGGAGGGCAGCACCAGGGGGAAGGGGTCGGACGCCATGCCGACGACGTGCCCTTCGAGACAAAATTGTGAACAAAAATGCGGCGGCCGTAGAGCTGGCCCTTGGCCACCTGGAGCCCTGCCTCCGGGATGGAGGACGGGTGGAGCGGAACGTCCCGCCCCAGGTTACTTCTTGTTGCCGCTCCCCGCTCCGCCTCCGCCAGACTTTTTGGATTCGGCGTCTCTCTCCTCTGTGTATAGCCGTGTGTTCTTCATGATCACTGCCTTTGTCTTCTGCTCCTGCGCGACCCATTCGTCGAACTTGCTGGTGACCACCCCTCCTGTCTCGTCGAGCGCCGAGGCCAGCATGTCCTCTAAGCCCGCGTAGTTGGGATGCTTCGGGTCGCGCCGAATGGCTCGCTGCATCTGCACGATCCTCCTTGCGATGAGCTCGGCCCCTGCAAGATTCGTGACGTCGACCTGGTCGTGCTCGATGAGGTGCCGCAGGGCCTCGAGCAGAAGGCGGATCTCGTGCGCAGCAGCGCTGCCGGGTGGCACTCCACTGCTGGTGATGTAGTGGTTCGCGTAGCCCGCGATGCCCAGCCCCGAAGCGCGTACACTGTCCAGGAACTCGGGCAGCGACTTCGGCCCTCGGAACACCCAGTCGCCGACGTCCTGCGGGCGGTGCGCCTCGATGGCCTGATCCAAGGTTGCACGTCGAGGCCCACCTGGTCCTATCCGCCGGACGGGACACGCCCGAGGATCCCGACCGGGCCCCGAGTGTTTCTCGTCCAGCCATAGCTGGTGCCGCTCCTCCGGCACGTTCTCGCAAGCTGCGAAGATCCCGTCGTCGTCGTTCCCGTCCAGCATCGCCAAGGCCACAGCTCCACGGCGCACGAACCTGTCCTCGGCCCCGCTGATCGCCGCGTCGATGACCTGCCCGAACTGCGGGTGAGCGGGGTCGGCCACCACCCAGCGGGGAGGGGCCGCCGCTGCACCGCGCGGCACGTCGATGCCGAGCACAGCCGCCAGCGCCGCCGCCTGCTCTCGAATGGCCTCGAGCTCGCCCTCCTCGAACGGGTCGAACGCATACAGCTGGCCCACCAGCCGGCGAGGGAACGGCGAGTTCCGAGGCAGCGGCACCACGCGGTGCGTGGTGAGGTCCCCGAACTGCACGCTGTGGTCCGGGGTGACCCAGATCCACTTGCCCGCCCCCGCCGGCACGAGGAGCACCCGAACGTGGAAGAGGAACCCGTTCGGGTCGTCGAAGAAGTCGATCGCGACCTGCGCCTCTGGGATGTCGAGGCTTCGCGCCATCAGCGGCGCCTAGCACGCAGGGAGGCGGGCGTCGCGGCCAGGCGCCCCTCGTCCTCGCTGGCCGGAGCGGCCGCTGGGCCGCCGGCGTCCAGCGCCAAGAGCAGCTCGTCGTCCTCGAGCGCGGGCCGCCCCGCCTGCAGCGCCGTCGGCCGGCGCAACCTCCAGACCGCCCCCACGAGCGCGGTGGTCAGGGCGCCGATAGCCGCTCCAGCGGCGAAGGCCCCCAGCGCTGGCCCAGGCGCCGGGCAGCGCACCTCAGGGCAGCCTGGGCAGATCGGGCAGGTCAACTGCTCCGGGCCGCACCTGTCGAGTTGCCTGCCCAGCAGCCCGACGATCTCCGTCGGCACCGAGCAGTCTGCCACGCAGCTGCAATCGGGGCACCGCGGAGGGAGGAGATACGGCGCGAGCGGGGCCACTGCCTGGAGCCCTCGGAAGGCCCAGTCCATCCCCTCGCCAGAACTCCTTGAGCCGCAGGGGCCGCGGAAGACACAGGCATGGCACAGGGGCCCCGAGGACCTTCACTATCTACCGCTCTGAGAGGCTCCTTGAGGTGTCGCAAAAACGTTTATAAACCAAACATACAAATTTCCTGCCCGGGCTCTCTTGCTGAAATCATAGGAAAACCATAGGACCGAGCATAGAAAGTTTAGGTTTTCTAACACACCAGCCAGGAATATAAGGAAACAATCTAAAGAGAGCTATAGGAAAGGGAATATTAAGAATTCTGTCAAATCCAGCGATTTCACGTCATCGCGCGGTGCACTCGCGATGCTCTGTCATGCACCCAGGCCGCGAATCCTGTGCAAAAAATACCACGCGGGCGACATGCGCGCGCGTCGCCGCGAGCGCATGCTCAAATCCTTCTAGAGTCGTCGCCGTCA